CTTATTATTATTATTATTATTATTATTATTATTATTATTAAAAAGTTTTTACATGAGTACCTGTTGTTAAAAAAAAAAAAAAAAAAATTTTTTATTTCCAATCAAGTGATTGAATTTTTTATTTCCGTTTAACATTAAAAAAAAAAAAAAAAAGAGAAAAATTTTTAACCGAAGTAAAAGAAAAAAAGACATTAAATAATAATGATAATAATAATAATTTTTTTACATTAACCGTAGCAAAGAAAGTTTTATAAAAAAAAAAAACTATGGAAAGTTTGCTTGCTTCTACCCTAAAGGAATCAATAACTTTTAAAAACTTTCAAAAGTAATAACATCCACACGTTTAATTTACATGTACAAAAAGAAAAAAATTTTTTTTTTTTTTTTCATTTTCATTTTCATTTTCTTCTTCCACGTTTGCAAAATAATTTTTTTTTTTTTTTTCGTGGAACTAATTAAAAAGCAATCGGAATGAATTGAAACGTCTTTTAACCTAAATTTATTTAATTTTGTTAAGTTTTACATCTCAGATTTTATTTATTGTTTGTTTATAATTTTCGTCGTGTCAAGTTAAAAAAAAACGTTAACTAATGACACTTTAAAAATTTTTTATTTAAAAAAGTGTAAATATTTTTTTTTTAAAACAAAAAAAAATTACGTAATGTTAAAAAAAAAAAAAGATATTTTTGTTGTCTTTAATATTTATAATATTAATGTCTCTCGGATAATATTTTTTCGATCGAATTACCAAACGAATGAATGAATGAATGATTGATTGATTGTTTGTTGGAAAGAAAAAGAGAAACAAGTTCTTTTTTTTTTAATCTTAATCTTAAATTTACCGAAGAATCTTTTTTTTTTTTTTGTTTTTCATTTTGTCAAAAGAGAAAAAGTTTTTTTTTTTATTTAGTCGTGAAAGAATTACGTAAATAAATAAATTATTATTATTATTAATGGTATTTAAAAAAAAAAGTTTTTTTTTTTTTTTAAATTATTGCGAGATGATAAATTCATGTCTCGTACAATTTTTGAGATTTAAATAAAAAAAAAAAAAAAAAAAGAAAAATGGCGCGTGGATGGACATTGAATTAACTATTTTAAAATCTTTTAAGGTCTTTGCAATCATGTATAATTTTCTAGCACAAATTTTTACTTTTTTTTTTTTTTTTTATACACGCGGACAATTATACGGTGAAAAAAAAATTAAAATTATTATCATTATTATTTTCTTTTCGTAACACTTATAAAAAAAAAAAAATTATCTTTTCAGTTTCTCTATCTCTCTCTCTCTCTTTTCTGATTTAATCCGATTAAATGAGTACGACTACTAGTTTTTTTTTTTTCTTTTCTTTTCTTTCTTTCTTTTTCTCTTTCCCTTTTCATTATTCTAATTAAAATGATATTGAAAACAAAAACAAAAAAAAGAGAAAATAAATATAAACAAATAAAATGAATTCATAAAAAAAAAAAAAAGAAAAAAAAAGGAACGAAAATATAATTAAATTGTCTGACATTGAGAATTTGAATTCAAAAAAAAAAAAAAAAAAAAAAATTAATTTTGCGCGGGAGTTTAATAAGTAAATATTTAATAATAATAAAAGGCGGTGCTTTGTCATGATCGATTAATTATTATCGAATGTGTCGATTCGAGTTAACTTTTTTTTTTTGTAATAAAAGTAATAATAAAAAAAAACAAATAATAGTTCATAAATAAATCTTAGAGTAAAAATAATAATGAAATTATTGGATTGATAGGAGGATTTGGCGCGCGCGCGATTATTTACTCTATGGTTTGTTAAAAACTTTTAATTTGACTTACCTGTCGGTCGTTGATTTTTCCAATTTTGTTGTCTCTGTGGTTTTTAATACGTTGAATACTTCGTTTAAAAATCTTTTATTGTTTTCATTTAACTCTATGGTCATTGGATATTTTGGCGGGTTTTGTTCATTTGTTGTTGAAGTATTGAGTGCGGTTGTTGGTGGTGGTGGTGGTGATGCCGGTGGCGTTATTGTTGTTGTTGTTGTTGTTGATGTATAACCGGTTGCTTTTTTAAAATAAACAATATTATCGTGTTTCGCAACAGCGGTCACAGTTGAAAAATCGTGAGATTCGTTAATAAAAGGTTTTATTGTTGGATTTTCATTGGTGGGTTCGGTAGTTTTAACAGATTGTGTCGAAATTTGAGTTATTTTAGCAATTGTATCATCATCATCATCGGTTTTTGATTTTATTGTAACATTTATTGGATTTCCCATCGATTGTATTGTATCCGAAGCCTTGGACTGAGTTCTTGCGTACAAAGAAACTTTAGAACTTGTTTTCATGGTAGGTGTTGTAGTTGTTGTTGTTGTTGTTATTGTTGTAATTGATGGTGGTGGTAGTGATGATGATGATGATGATGATGTTGAGAAATATGGGTGTAAAGAGGTCGATTTAGTTATTATTTCTTCAGTGACATTTAAAATTGGTAACGGTTTTTCACTGGTTGTTACATTTAAAGATTCGTAATTATTATTATTATTATTATTTCCCGTGGAATCAGACGACATTGAAATATTAATTGTTCTCTGATTTATTGAACCTGTCACTTTTGTTGCGTTATTTAGATAATTTCTATTGAAAGATTTTAAAACACCGAGAGGAACTTTGATTGATTTTCTTGTAGAATTCAAACGAAGAATTTCTTGATTGTAAACGTTTTTAATTGTGCTCGCTAATTGTTTATCTTCATCTTGTTCGACTTTTTCAATTTTTCTCTTGTCCGATGAATTATTATCGAAATTCAAAGGCAATGGAGATAAGTTAAATATTGGAATCCTTAAATATTTTTCTTTGTTATTATTTTCAGATACTTGATTATCAATCGTGGTATTAGAATTTTTCGTGTCGTTCACCGACTCTTTATATCTTTCGAATTCTTCAAAATTAGTTTCGTTTTTATAATCCGATAAATGATTATTGGTATTGTTTTGAACTTGAAGCCCGAGGGTTGTTTCCGAAACGGTTTTATTTACATTTAAAAGTTTTATTGATTCCGTTGTGTAATTTTCATTACCACTAACATCGGTTGTTATTATTGTTGTTGTTGTTTCCACGATTGATTCATTTTTATTTTTTTCACGATTTCTTCTTAATCTTTCACCCACGTTATCGAAATTTCTCTGATGATCCGATGATTTTTTTAAATTTAATTTTTGTCCGAATTCAAATTGGGATTGTATAACGGATTGTCTCGTGTTTTGAAATTTTTTAGGTTTTACGGTATTTTGAAAATTTAATAATATTTTCGGATTGTTTCCTTGATTTGATAAAACTCGATTCGAAACATCTTTTTTTTCTGTCGGTTTTTTACTCACTGGAATTTCATTCGTTTGCAACGTATCGAAAACCGACGACGTCACGACTTCTCTGTTGGTAGTTTCTTGATTTTCTAATTCCACTTCTGTTATTTTAGGTTTTTTATTATGTTCGTGTGTTTTATTGTAATATTTTCTCCTTTCAGCGATTGATAAATACGAATTTCGTCGTTCCGGAGACATGGACGGTATTTCCGGCGGTATCGGGGGTGATCCGTTGGTTATCGTGTGGTGTGTTATGGGCCTTCTTTTAATTCTCCTACCAAATTTTTCATTAACAGGTACGTCATTTTTATCATTTATCATATCAAAACTTTCACGAGTAAATCGAACGTTTGTTTTATTTTTTTTATTAATCTCCGATGAAAAAACTAATTGGTTTTCTTCTTTTTTTTCTTTTTCTTCCAATTTGTTGTTATTTTCTTCGTTTTTTTCATTTTTGATTTTAATTTCCGTTACGTTGTCAAATGTATCATCTGAAAATGAAAGAAAAAAATAACAAAAATCATTTCATTAATATTTATGAAAAAAAAAAAAAAAATCAATAATACATTATTTTTATACAAACTCCGTGAGAACATTTTAAAAAAAAAGCAGAAGACGTAAATTATTATTTATTTTTTTCTTTTTCAAAGATTTAATAAATAATTTAAATATTATTCATTAATTCCATATTTAAAATAAATGATTTATAATTTAAATTTTTTTTTTTTTTTATTATTATTATTTTCTTTTAGAAATTTCGTAATACGTCTCTTTGGTATTTTCTTTAATACAACAACAATAGCCAATTGTTAACTAATACATTCTTTTTTTTTTTTATTAATATATTATTATCATCATCATTTACCATTTAGTTTTTTTGTAAACGAGCCGAAACCTACGACATTTTTTCATAACTATCTGTTTACCATTAAGTCATTAATGTAGTTTGCATAGAGTTAACCTTGAAGGTTAAAAAGAATGAAATTTTTTTTTTTTTTTTCGGTGCATTCTTTCCTTCCATTAATGATTATTTAAACAATTTTAACATGGTCGTTAGAGTTAAAACTGACGAGTTGTTGTTGTCGGTAACAATTTGATTGCTTCAATTATACGAATACCCCAAACACGCACACATGCACGCACACACGCACAAACAAATAAAAAAAAAAATTTTTTTTTTGTAATCGTTGGTTGTTTCGTATTTTCCTTTTTTTTCCATAAAAAAAAAAAACCCAACACAAATTCAAATAAATTATTATTATTATTAATGCTTCGGTCGGTGCTTCCCTCGTCCCTCTCCCCCCTCCCCCCACAATTTTATTACGGACCTGTAATAAAAAAAAAAAAAAAAAAAAAACTTGAACCTTATTCATCGAGCTTTTTATTTTTTAAAATGTCAGATTATTTATTTATTTTTTTTTTTTATGATCGAAACCGTTAAAATATAGTTCATGGTTTTCTAGACGCACATCACGTGACATTAATTATTATTAATAATTTTTAAAACTATAAATAATTAATTAAAGTTGTAAATTTAAATCACGCATCTATAAATATGCACGCACATAAACACACCTTAATTTAATTTTTAAAAAAATTTTATATTATTTATTAAAGGTTGAATTAATTTTAATATTAAATAAATAAATAAATAATAATAATAATAATAATATTTTTGCGGGTTTTTATTGCTATTATTAAATAATTTTAATAAGATTAATAAAAATAAATAAAAAAAAAATAAGATCGAGTGAATACATATATACGTGCGTAATTTTTTTTTTTTTTTTATTAAGGACCAAATCACGGATACATAAATATTATTAACATTTCAATAAGACATTTATTTACATAAGTACATAATAAAAAAATAAATAATTCATGAATGAATGAATGAATAAATGTATCGAATGAATGACTGACTGACTGACAATAATTAAAAAGTATTAATAAACATTTGTGCTACTTGTCAATACGAAACCAAACGACGTCGAAAAAAAATTTTCTTTTTTATTTTATAATTAATGAGATATTAACCTTTGACCTTAAAAAAAAATCTCATCTTTTTTTTTTTTTTCAAATGTATTACATTTATTAATCAAAATTTTCTATCGTTTGTTACAAAAACCAAACAATCGGTTCATTACGTTTTTTTTTCTTTTTGTTTTGATT